GGGGGGTGGTTTTGGCAGGGGGTGGCAACAGAGGGGGAACTTCTGGTCTCCTGAGCCTTTCTTGCCTTACGTCTGGCAGGGGGGAGTTCTGTGCTTTGGCAGAGGTTCTTTTTGGTGAGGAGGGGGTGTTCTGGGGAGGGGGGGTGGCTGCGACGGGATGACGACCCCTTCTTCATGGCAGGGGGGGACCCCTGGGCCAGGGGGGAGGCTGGGGTGGGCGCACTTCTGGCCAACTCAGGGGAGTCTGCAACAGACCACGCTTGCTTTCTGCGTATAGGGGTGGGGGAGGCGGCACTACCCCTGGGGAGCCGTGCTGAGGGGGTGGGGGAGGCTGCACCACCCCCTGGCCACACGGGGCCTAGACTGTTGTTTCGATGTTTGTGAGACTTGGAGCGGGGCTCACGCCAGCTCCCGGGATGGCTAGTTCTGCACAAACACAGAATAAACAAGGCAGTCAGCCGTCATGTCAGGAAAAACTGTTGTACTACAACATGCTGTGGTGCAGTCAGACCAGACTACAACATGCTGTGGTGCAGTCAGACCAGACTACAACATGCTGTGGTGCAGTCAGACCAGACTACAACATGCTGTGGTGCAGTCAGACCAGACTACAACATGCTGTGGTGCAGAGTCAGCCCAAACTGTGTTGTAACAGCGAGTACCAACTTTTCTACACACATCCAACCACAGTGAAGTCATGACAGAGGTTACAGCTTTGCAGAAGCACAACTATGGCACAGTTTCAGCACACTTTTAACACAGTTTCAGCACATAGCAGTGTCACCATCACAGCACAACCACACTCTAACTACTACAACACACATGTACTACAGGTAAACACACACAGAGATAGCACAATAATTATCACACAATCACGGCAACAGCATCGTTTCAGCTGTATCAGAAACAGTTGCACCTTCACATGTACACCATTTTACAGTGCACATTACAGCAAGGATTGCAGCACACATCATAGGACATTACAGCACACTACAGCACAATGTCATTACACCACATTACACACACATGACAGCTCGTTACAGCACACATGACAACAGACATGACAGCACATTACACCACACATTACACCACACATTACAAAACACATTACAACGCACATTACAACATGTTACAGCGCACATTACAGCACATTACAGAACACATTACAACAGACATGACAGCACACATTACAGCACATTACAGCACACATGACAGCACAGTTACAGCACGTTACAGCACACATTACAGCACATTAACAGAACACATGACAGCATGTTACAGCACGTTACAAGGCCAGTGAGGGCGGGTCTCACCTGGTGAGTTTAGTCAGGTCTGGAGCAGAGGGAGGAGAGAGGAAGCTGAGAGTTAGCAAGGCATCATGGGAACAGCAGGGGCACACAACAGGACAGCACAGTTATACACACGTCTTTAAAACTGAAGATATATACACAGTATTACATTTCATTTTAACTGTAGATATACACATACATGCATATGTCACTTCTACTGTAGATAAAAGGTGCAATTTATAGTGGTAACATGTTTTCCCCAACATGAAGAATGTTCATCATAGACACCAACACCAGCAATTCTATCATTATATTTTCATCTCTACAAGCCTTACAACCCTTATAGTCTCTGTACCTCTGGGTATCATCACAACTGCACCAGACAGTACCATCACCATGGTTACCATCACCATGGTTACTGCACCAGTCATCACCAGACAGTTAAGACAGAATCTCACAGTTTCCTCCCCAGGCCGGGCATGAAGGCAGCTGAACTTCAGTCTCTCCTCAGGGACTGGGGCAGCTGGGCAGGACCAGACTGTGCCTCTGTACTCTTCTCCTGTCCTGCTGTTCCTCCTGCTATTCCTCCTGCTGTTCCTGTCTGCTCCTGTCCTGCTGTTCCTCCTGCTGTTCCTCCTGCTGTTCCTGTCTGCTCCTGTCCTGCTGTTCCTCCTGCTGTTCCTCCTGCAGTTCCTCCTGCTGTTCCTCCTGCTGTTCCAGTCTGGTCCTGTCCTGATGTCTGTTCTGCATCACTCTGCAGAAGCCTGCTCACCTCCTCTGCCATCTCCCTAATCAGATCTCCCACAGAAGTTCCAGTAGGAGCACCCAAGACAGTCTCATCTGGCAGTTCTTTAGCAATAGGGTGGGGGCTAGGAGGTCTTGCAGTTGGCCCCTCATCTGGCAGTTCTCTAGGAAAAGGGTGAGGGCTAGGAGGTCTTGCAGTTGGAGACAGTTGGCTTTGTCCCACAGACTGGTCCTGGACTCCCTCAGATGTTGGCAGAGATCCTCCCAAGTCAAAAACCTCTGCATTCAGAAAGCTGATTTCTTCACAGGCCTCAAGCAACTCTGGAGTCAGGCTCAAGTGGGTGCCATGGTAACTGTTGTCATGGTAACCATTGTCATGGTAACCATTGTCATGGTAACCGTTGTCACCCACAGGAGGAAGTGCCCCTGCCATCACCTGTATATCATGTTCTATAGCGGCTGCTGGCTCCACTTCACTCATGTCCACAGGGATGGGCGTGGGGGGCCTGTCTGTGGGAGGGGAAGGTCCAGCTACAGTATTAGGGGGTCTGTCAGTGGTAGGGGATGATTCATCTACCGTACTAGGGTGCCTGTCAGTGGCAGGGGAAGGTTCATCTACAGTATTAGTGGACCTGTCTGTGGTAGGAGATGGTCCATCTTTGGCATTAGTGGGTTTGTCGGAAGTTTCCTTCAGTGCTTCAGTGCTGGTAAGTTCCTCCCCCCGGCAGCTGTTTTCCGACCGCGGCCTGCTGAGATGGAAGACCTCTGAGATGTGCTTCTCCTTCTCCTGCCTCCTCCGCTCTCCTTCCTCCAGCAGCTTCAGCAGCGAATCCACGTCTACAAGGGACGGGGCACGTCTTCTCGGCTCCTCAGGAATCCACCTAAACACGTCTGCATTTCCTAAAGATACAGGAATCCGCCTGTCCACATCTAGGCACTAGATGCAGGAATCCGCCTGTCCACATCTGTAGGCACTGCAGATGCAGGAATCCGCCTGTCCACATCTGTAGGCACTGCAGATGCAGGAATCTGCCTGTTCCCATCTGTAGGTGCTGCAGATGCAGGAATCTGCCTGTCCACATCTTCAATCCCCCGGCTCCCGCCTGCAGGATCTGAAGATGCAGATCTTCAGTTTCTGATCAGGTGCGGCTTCAGGTGAACCTTATTCCCTCCTTACCGACTTCCCCACCACCTTTTGCCATCCTTGTTAGCACAGACCAACACACGGCAATCTTCTCCCAACACCGTAACTACCCTAAAGGCTAAACTAACCCTACATCAACAACAGTTGATTCCTCCACAGAACAATCAAACAACATGCAGAACATTCTGTGGGCAATGTTTCCTTTAACACCAACACTCACGTGACTTTAAAACATCTTTACCTTGGGAACTGATGTCAGCATCAGGTGCAGCATGGGAGGGGGCCACAGGTTCCAGGTAGCTTGCCGGGGCCCAGCCCTCGATGTTTGTGTTGCTGATGCAAACGTAGCACCAGCCTTCCTCACCCATCTGACATATCAACAAACACAGACATTCAAGTATTATCTAACAACAACACAGAACAGCAGCAAACATAGCACCAGCCTTCCTCACCCATCTAATGGCAAATACAGCATACATGTATCTAACAATCACAAACACAGAACAACAACAAAAAAAGGCACAACAGCAAACATAGCACCAGCCCTTTTATCCCATGTAAGACTAAGAGCAGCAAACAGAGTAAAGCAAAAACACAAAAGGTGCAAGTATCACTGAAGTTTTCCGTAAACCTTTGCATTGATAATTTCTGGTTAAATGTTAGCCTCTGGTTTGAAAGGACAGACTCACCTTCAGCATGTCGACCACTTCTCCCTCCGACATGGAGATTTCCCCGTTCTCTACAGGGTTGTAGTCTGCCAGTGCCACGTACTGGCCCAGGGCTACTGGTGTCTGTAAGCAGACAAGTCACAGTCATTATCACACATCACACAGACCTCTCACTTCTACAGTCAACAGGGTAAAAATGTAGCCACGTACTGGCCGAGGGCTACTGGTGTCTGTAAGCAGACATTATCACACATCATTATCACACAGGGCTACTGGTGTCTGTAAGCAGACAAGTCACAGTCATTATCACACAGACCTCTCACTTCTACAGTCTACAGACATCCCTAATACAGATGCCAACATCAGCGCCATGTACTGGCCCAGGACTACTGTCTGGAGACAGACAAGTCACAGTCATTATCACACATCATTATAACACAGGGCTACTGGACTACAGGACTACACATGCAACAAACAAACAAACAAACAAACAAACGTAACTCAGTCCCGTACATCTGTAACAGTGGTACGTACTTCGTACATCTGAGAGTCTATCTCATCGTCAGAATTAGAGAACTCGTCGCTGGACCGGCCGATGTAAGTAAGTAAGTGTGTAACAGTGGTACAGCTGTGTAACAGTGGTACAGCTGTGTAACAGTGGTACAGCTGTGTGTAACAGTGGTACAGCTGTGTGTAACAGTGGTACAGCTGTGTGTAACAGTGGTACAGCTGTGTGTAACAGTGGTACAGCTGTGTAATAGTAGACTGTGGTACGTACCTCGTACAGCTGTGAGTCCATCTCATCGTCAGAGTTGGAGAACTCGTCGCTGGACCAGCCGATGTTAGTAAGTAAGTGTGTAACAGTGGTACAGCTGTGTGTAACAGTGGTACAGCTGTGTAACAGTGGTACAGCTGTGTAATAGTAGACTGTGGTACGTACCTTGTACAGCTGTGAGTCTGTTTCGTCCTCAGAGTTGGAGAACTCGTCGCTGGACCAGCCGATGTAAGTAAGTGTGTAACAGTGGTACAGCTGTGTGTAACAGTGGTACAGCTGTGTGTAACAGTGGTACACAGGGGTTTTTCTAAACAGGGGAACAAGGGCGCTGCGCCCTCATGTAACAAGCTAGCGCCCTCATATCAATTTTCAGATTGAAGCCTAAGTCTTTTTCAAAATGATCTTTTTCCAGTAAAAATACAAAAACAACACCACATAACAATGTATTCTAGCATTACAAACTATGTTACTCTTATGAAAATTCCAAAATCTTACCACAAACATGAAAATTTAGCTCTAGTAGTAAAAGTCTGAATGGAGTAAACATAGTTCATTGAGAACTTGCCCAAAGACTACAAGTAAGCCTCCTTCATTTGCATACTATAGAACAGACTCTGAAGTGAAACATGAGACCTGAGTTTGTAGCAGCTTGGATGAATGTGTTGCAATTGTGCCATGGGAAAGGTTTGAGCTTGTGGCAAACCCAATGTCATCTGGAGCTACTACATGTAGTAACATTGATCACTAATTGTGTAAGAATAAAGGGTGATTTGCACATTGTGTGTACTGTTGATTACACTTTTATATTTTATAAAGGAAATATGCAATGCATGAATAGAAATTTAGGGAAGATATTGACAAAAAAACATTGAATTATTTTAGTCTATCTATCCTTCTCCTATGGCTTTAACAATACTTTATAGTACTGGAAATTTGTATTGAGCATTGTATCTAGCATATTGTAAATTTTGTGCAAGCTAAAATAGCCTTGGACGGTGTTGTAAAATCCAAGTAAACAGACCTTTTTCACAATCATAGTTGTTTATTTTAAAAAGAAACATACAATGAAAGAGTTCAAATTTTCCCCCTCAAGTAGCCTCAAACTGTCCCATTTCAACTTCAAATTTTCAAAGGCTTCACATGGCGG